GGCCGTGCCGCCGGGGTCGCTCCACTCGAGAGGGGCTCAGCACGCCTGCCCCTCCCCTGGAGGCGAGCACCCCATGGCACACAGTCTGAATTCCCAGGTTGTGGAAGTACTTGCAAGATGCTGATGTGGGAGATGTACACAGAGAAAGCGATTATCTGGGAAACGTGTTTTCTTTATTTTAAGGCATGGAAAAGACATGATAATAGATAGGAAAAATGTATAAAATAATAGCCCACCTTGATACAACAGGAAGCAAGGAATTGCAGAGTAGTGGAATAAATTGTGGAGCCTTTTGCGCCCATGAGAACGGGCAACAACTTCTTATCGTGCTTAAACCAAAGGTGTTTTTGCTGCTTCATTCATTAGTTAGAGGAATACAAGTTCTAATTGTCCTAATAGTTTGAATTTCTCTTTTATATTTGCAAGTGTGCAAGGGAGGAATTTCAGCTTTGAGAAAAAAAAAAGGAAGTCTAGAATTGAGTGTAATGTGTAGTGTGGGGATATTACTTGTCTTCCCTTCAGCCCGTTCAAAGAAGTGATTTCTAAAAGAGATATTAGATTGTATTAAATTTTGAAAACACCACATACTAACTTGTCTAACAAAAAAGATCCACTGGGAAATGTGCTTAGCTACAACAGCAACAAATGTGGCATAGATAATGCTACTACAGTGTTGTTTTTTTTTTTTGTTTAGATGGTGAGGAAACTAAGTTTTTCCTCCACAAATGCTGTTTGTTTTGTAGGCGTGAGATGCCTTAGAATCTTTAGAAGCTGCCTAAACTGGAGGGATGGGGTGGGGGCTGTAGTTATGGACTTTAGTTTCTTGATAACGCCGTTAGTACTTTTTTGCAGAAGCTCTTTGTTGTAAGCAAGGCTTAAATAAAACCAATATTTCCTATGCATATTACTGTATATCTACTGGTGAGCAGTACTGTGACTCACCGTTCATCATCAAACTGTCATGAGAGCTCACATTACAGGTGTCAACTTCCCTTTGGAAGCTAAAACAAATTGTAAAAATGTTCTTCAGATGCTAAATGAATTTTGCATTTTTATATTTGAAATTAATCTTGATGTTTTATTTCATTGTAGGTAACTTAAGTGATTTTCTAGCATGGACACTGTTGCTAGCCATAGTTGTCATCTTCTCCAGCAGTTACATGAGCAGCGCATTCAGGGTCTCCTCTGTGACTGCATGCTGGTGGTAAAAGGTGTCTGCTTCAAAGCACACAAAAACGTATTAGCTGCTTTCAGTCAGTATTTCAGGTATGTGGCAGAAAATTATTCTTTTTAAAAAGTGAACTAAAGCCTATTGCTTGAGGTTTTAGCTGAAAAAGTTTGTTGTTTTTTTTTTTTTGCCTTGTAGTTCGCAGATTAAGTAACTGTAGGAGTGTGAGGGGAAAAGTTAAAACGTTTGTCCAGAGATAAATCTGTGTCAAGTGTTTAATTAAAAACTGTGGCCATCCTAATTGATTTTCTAGATAGATATACATAATTGTTTACTACTCTGCTTAAGCCTGGCATTTTCTTTTTCCTTACTTGCTGATGGTGCCTCATACAATGGATTCTGGCATGGACCTGCATTCCAAATTTCAGTATGAAAAGATAACTACAAGGAGCCTGGTAGGGCACATGAACAGACCTAGATAAGGGATATAGCTGATGAAATAATTCACATTAGCTACTTAAAGATAATGTGAATTTTTTCATCAATTATATATTCAAAATAAAATTTGAGTACATAGGTTGTTACTGCATCTCTATTTAGAACAGGTTCTCAAAGAGACAATGCTTCTTTCAAAGTATACAGGTGGCCCATGGAGCAAGCTGGTTTCTTTCCCCTCTATACAGCTGTCGCTGATCCTCCAAATTTTGGGGAGGTACTGGATCTCCCAACTTAAAATCGTTTATTAGTTATGAGTAGGCTCTTAGACCTGGCAGTTTTCAGACCTTGCTTCTAGAAACACTTCCAAAGCTTGACTACCAATCCTCATGTAAGAAAATTATTTTTATTTTACAACCAAGATAAAAAGATGAGCGTTTGATTTTCCTTTTTCTGTTCTAGGTTGTAATCCTGATAATGAAGTGAAATTATGCTCAAAGACTGATTTTTTAAAGTAATTAAAAAGAACTAAGCACTCAATTCTTCTTAAAATTCAATAGGATATAAGTGACTAAATTAAATTCTCAACCCAGATCTGTTCCCCTTTGTGTGTCAGGAGTTACTGTGAGGTATCAGGTTAGAGCCTGGAGGCTTTCATAGAGGGCGTGGAGTTCCTGGCTGAGGCAGACTAGGAACACACTTCATCTAGGATTGGTGATGCATGTGAAAAGCTACAGTTCTGATGCTAAGAATACTTCACATCAAATAGCTAGAAGTCTTGTGAGTTCAGACACTAAGGATTCAATGACAATTCAGTGGGCAGTGGTTGGACTGCTGATTTAGGCTTAGGTACTTACACCCTTCATTATTCTTTTACTTGATTCTCACCTAGTACCGGTAAAGAAGGTACTTTTTGATTGGATATGAGAGAATAGATTGAAAATAATGCCATCCTCTTGTTTACTATTACCTCCTCTCATCTACTTGTGGGGAGAGAGCTAATAGAACTTCAATTGGCGTTTTACTGATAAAGTTTGATGGACAAGCTTGGTTGCCAGAAGAGAACAGTTTAGCTGACTATGAGGTCTGTCTTCTCCTTTTTACTAGGAAATTTCTCATGTCCTGTTTTATTTGCCATGATGGAATGAGAAACACTCTTCTGAGTCAAACCAGCATTTGCAAATAATCCACGAATAAACCACTGCACCTAACATGTAGAGAACATTGGATAGGAAACTTCAAGCATAGAGCGTGATTACAAAACATTAAAAAATAGAAAATTAAAGTTATGTAAAAGATAATTTGCTTTGATTTATACTTTGTGTATGTTTTTTATAAAAGTGTTTGTGTTTGAATATTTGCCTTATTTTATCAGGACCCTTTTCCAGAATTCTTCAGGCCAGAAGAATGATGTCTTTCACTTGGACATTAAAAACGTAGGTGGCATAGGCCAGATTTTGGACTTCATGTACACCTCTCACCTGGACCTCAGCCAGGACAATGTGCAAACTATGTTGGATATTGCACAGTGTCTCCAAGTGCAAAATGTGCTGAACATTTGCCACACCTTTCTGAAATCCTCCCCAGCAGTGGAGCAGGCAGCCAGCATGCCCTGTGGTAGCGTGTTTTCACTGCAGGGTGCCTTGGCTGCAGATCCCAGCTGTGCCAGTGATGGCTATGGAGCAAACCTCCTGCACGAGTGCCCATCTGACACACAAGCTGCTAAAGTCGTGGCTGACCACCAACCTCATGCATCACAGCCTGTTAATCTTCACCCACCCTCAGGTGATGTACAGAAACAGCCACAAGACTCCTTAGATGGCAGCTGCACAGAGCTGCCATTTAAACAACCAAGTTACTATTACAAACTACGCAACTTTTACAGTAAGCAGTTCTATAAGCAGAATGCTTGCTCTAATCACGAGAGAGGAGCAGAACAACCCTTTTCTTACAGCACGTCTACAGAAGTAAATGCAGTAGAGAATAATTCTTGTACTGTCAATCACTCTGAGTGTATTCTGGAAACCTCTGATCACTTACCGTCAAACTTTCTGGTTCCGTCTGTGAATGAAGCTGCTCCAGACCAAGATGCAGAAGGCACAGTTATGCAGCCCACCAAACAGATGCGCCTGAAAAAGGCAATGCATCTCAAAAAGTTAAATTTTCTAAGATCTCAGAAATCTGCAGAGCAGGCACCTGAGCCTAAAAGAGACAACAGTGGAATAACAGGAGTAATTGAGTCTGTAAATGAAAGTACCATGGATGTGACGAATGTTAGAGTTACAGATGAAAAGGAAGCTGAAGATGTAGTGAATTCTGAGAATTTTGAACAAACTGTTGACATTGAAAGATCTCAAGGTCCTTTGGAACAAGAAGGGCAGTCACAGACTCTTCAGTCGCAGAGGCAATATACTTGTGAATTATGTGGGAAGGCTTTCAAACATCCAAGCAATTTGGAGCTCCATAAAAGGTCTCATACAGGTACAGTGATCAATAACTTGGTCTACAGACCAAATATTTCAGTTAGAGAGGGTGTCTTGCAGTATCTCTCTGTTGGTAGACAGAGATGCTCATTAAAGATCTACTATCAAAAATTTGTGGGTTCATTTTTTTAAAAAAATGAATAATCATACAGGAATAAAGACTGTAAGACCGAGTTTAGCTGAGAGTTGTAGTAGAGTTCTCCTTCATACTTGTTTTTTTAGGGCTCTTTTTCAAAGAAAGTTTGTGATATTTCAATGAAAATTTTATTTTTGTCTTGCATTTAGAAGAGGCATTTCTAATCAGTTTGTCAGATGGCCCAGAAGTCTGAGTCAGATAACGATGAGGTGTGTAAAGGCAATACTACAGGTGTTCCAGATGACCTCAGTTCTCCTTGATCATATATTCATATAAGCAGGTGATTAGGGTGTGGTGGTCATTTCTTTTTAAACTCTAGAAATGTGCTCTCTTAATTAGTTTGTACTTTTTTCCTAGTGTGAACTAGTTTCATTATGTTTACGTAGAGAGTAATATTCTTGCAGACAAGTAGACTGCAGAGTGAAGGGGGATTTGGAATCAATTTATTTTAAAAACTCCCAGGTAATATTATTTTAAAACCTATCAAATTTATTTCTGAGCATCTCTTTATTATATTGAAAGACAAAACCTGGTCCAACTTTGCTTCAGCTGATTTATCTGTTCAGTTTAACCAGCATGTTCTGTTTCTGTGACTTTAGATACAGGTTTTTATCTCAGCTAGTCGAGCAACGCCAGTGATTCCAAGTCCTTGAGATGTCATTATTCCTGATTAAGATGTTGAATATTTTTTGGCTTTTTTTCCTGTGTTATTATTAAATATACAATGCATCTTTGTCAATCTTGTCAAACAAACATCAATGAACATACATGTGTTGGTACTTTGACAGTGAATAAGAGTCTGTCTTAGGAGACATTATTTTGTTAATTGATCCTTACTATTAGGAATTTACTTTTCCATGTTTTAGTAGAAAAATCTTTCCAGAACTTGAAAATATGAAAATTTTGCATTATCTTCCTGAAGTTTTCACTTGCTATCTTAGAGTACTGATTGCGGTAATAATCCTTTTTTTTCCTCTTACTGTGGTTGCCTGTGAAAGAGTTGCATATGTCTCTTACCCAGATCCCCTCTTTGCTTTGTATTTTTTTGAATCTGTTGTAGAATCTGAGCTGGTGTCATTTGGTATGCTTTAATATCTTAGAAATTTCAGGAAAATAGGTGATCAGATAGGAAACAACATCTAGAGAAGCCCCAGCTGAGAGTCTGCAGTCAGTAATGTGAGTTTGTGCTAAAGAATCTTACGTGGGAGACACCAACTATAAGAAACCTGTCAGAATTTGTCCTTCCTTAGACATGTCTGTCACTGGAAGAAATCTGGATTTTGTGAGTGCTGGTGCCCATTAAACTGTTTTTTTAAAAAGCATGCTGCCTGAGTGATAGACTTCATTACTAGACTTAATTGCTGTATGTTTCTTCATCTGCTAAACTGTTCAAACCAGGAGGTTCAAAGTTTTGTCTACCTCTTCTAATGTAACTTAAAGGTCAGGGGAATGGACTGAGTACTGAGCTTTGTAGAAGGAAGAGACTGTAGCCACTGATGAAAGTGTTTTGCAAATTACTGTCCTTCTGTAGACACAGCTTGGCCTGCAAATGCTTCCAAGTGTAGGTAAATGGAAAAAGAGGCAAAGGGTTGAAGTAGCTTTTGCAGTGTTATTTATCTGTGTTTCAGGTAATTTCTTTGCTCTTATTTGAGGTCTGTGTGTTTGCACATGCTTCTACTCCAGTTAAGCTCTGATAGATGGTGTTACACATTCCACAACGCTGCTTGGTATGAACTAGATTTATACATTACACTGCATAGGAAAAGTGATCATAGACTTGGTTTTGTTGTTGGTGTTGTCCTTCTCTACTTGTCTGAGTATACACTGGATTCAGGAATTCCATGCTGCTTTCGGGCACTATTTTCTTTCAGAAGTTTTAAAAAAATTCTAGACTTGAATGTTACTTAATGTGGCATTAACATTCTTCCACAGATATGCTAAACTGACAGAGTTCAGGAGCATATGTTTAACAAATAAGCATATCAAAGGAGGGTGGAAAGACTGAGACTAGATAGGCCTGTTAGCTTACCTGTTTGGGTCACATGGATTTATTTTAAAATATCTAGTGCGAAAAGAGCATTTGGAAAATTACAGTGGATGATGAGTACAATGTTAATATAGGAGGGATCTGTAACTGAAGGTACAGGGCATGTCTGTATCATTAATATTAGGTGTAGTAGTAGTAAAGTAACATAAGTGTATGCAAAAAGCCATTTCCATTCATCTGCCAACTAATTGCTGGCTAATCAGTTGTATTTGGAAACATTACTTTTCTACAAATGAACAAAAGGTTTTGCAAGCATTTATTACAGCGCTTACTGAAAGGCCTCTAAATCTGGCTTTGCTGAAGGGATGAAAGAAGCAAGTTACTAAAACAGACCTTTCATGCTGGCAAGTCAGTTTTTAACCCACAAATTGACAACTCTTTTTCAACACAAGTGTTATGGCAGTCTGGCTGCCAAGAAAAAGCACATGTGAAATTCTCTGTCCCTGAATGCTGGGGACTACTAAAGAGTTTAGAGGATAATATGGTTGTATTGATGAGTTGTCTGTGTGAAGGACAGGCATCCTGTGTTCAACACAAATCATTCTGTTGGGCTGTCTACCTGTTTTAATTGTATTGCTCGTAGATATTTAAAGGAATCTCAAAAGAGAGATGACTGCATTGACTTTAAGATTGATTTTGACTTGACTGTTATAATTTGGTTTTTATTAGATTGACCTGTCTGAAAAAAAAGGAAGCAAGTATCTCTCTTACACAGTCCTTACCTGTACAGGAGCAGTGTTTTCAGGAAACATCTCAAAAAAACCTACAACCCTTTGGAAAGAACTCTTGGCAGGATGGAATACAACAGGAGCAGAGTTACACCGTCAAGTAACACACTGTTGATCCTCAACCTTTTCATTCTGAGCTTTGCTTGAGCAAGTTGACGGTGTGCTGTGGTGGGTCCTGCTCCTCACCTTTGTGATCTCTTCAGGAACACTGCTTCTGCCTTCGTGCCTTTCTCCTCTGGAGCTGACATACCCCTGCTTTGGTCCCCCTGCTGTGTTCTTTATCCTCAACTCTTCTTGCAGAGTGTTGAACAAGAAGGATACAACAGGAAGATAGAAAACACAGGACAGTCCAAGGGTTTAAAAGTAAAGTCCCTTGGATAATTTATTTAAGAATTGTCTTAATTGTAGTTCAGTTACTACTTTTCATGAAATTTTCTCTATTGCTGTTGATCTGGCTGTGGTCTTTGAGAATATTAGTGGTCTCAGAAAAGGCTTTTCATTTGCATTTTAATGACAGTCGTAGAATCTGAGAATAATTTAAATTAGAATGGACTTCTGGAGGTGATCTAGTCCAGTATGCTCAAGGCAGGTCAGACTGGATTGGGCTGTTTTGCTCATGACCTTGTATAATCAAGTTTTTAATATCTTCAAGGACAGTGATTCCCCAAACTCTCCAGACAACCAGTTCCAGTGCTTGATGACCCTCACAAGGCAAAAAGATTCTTTTCTTATATATAACTGGAATTTCTCATGATATAACTTGTCTGTGTCCTCTCTTGTCCCATCAGTGTACCTTCAAGAACAACCATATTGCATCGGTCTTCCCATTGTGTGTAGCCAGCAGCAGGACTTCTGTTTGCCTTCTCTTCTTAAGGCTTCAGATGTGGTCTCACCAGCAATAGGCCGGGATGAATCATCTTCAGTTTACTAGCTGCACTCTTACTGATATGCCCTAGGAATCACTTGGGGGGAATACTACAACATTTTGAGTAATTTAGTGTTTCTGCTAAAATTCAGTCTTGGAATAGTCTACTAGAAAATGTCTAGTGGTTTGGATTTTTATGTAGGTGCAGAATTGTTCTCCAAAATTTAATTTGATCTTTCTTTTCAAAGAAAACATTTTTGTGATGTCTTTATCATGAGGGGGAAAAAATCAACTCTTTTTATGTTGGTATGGTTATAATGAGGCTGCATGCAGCCTACAAGAGAGGTGAGAAATTTGAGCCTCCACTTCCCTCCCTACTCCTCTGGTTATTTCAGGGTGGATTTTGGTTTAAATAATAGTCTTTGTCGATAGTATCTTTTCTTTTTGCGTAGGTAATTTCTGCAGAAATGGTTAGTAATGTTTTTTTATCCTCCATTTCAAATTACCTTGATGTTTTACTGTTGTCAGAAACCTTCCCTGTTGTCACAGATCTGGCTCCCTGTCGGTTTCATTTGTATTTGTGTTGTCAGTCCCAGAATTTGTAGTGTTTTATGAATACAGAGCCATAATGAAATAGAGTCTCGATGTTCAGAGTTACTGGTTTCTTAATTTTGATTCTTTAATTGAATAAAAGCTTTCTGGAAAGTGTTGTAAGATTTCCATTCTTCATTGAGCAGGAAAAATACATACAGCCTCAAGCTGTCAGACTTAACTGCAAGACTGCTCTCTGGGAAGCCATATAACTGTGTATGTTTACTTGCTGCTTTAAAAATCTAACAAGAGTTGCATGTAGTCTTTGATCCTGAAATATGTTGAAAGAACATCACCTCTGTGTGGCAGCAGGGAAGACCTGGGAACTGTACATGTTGCTTTTTACACTTCCAGGGATGGAGGAAGAATACTGATGTAGAGAATACTTGCTGGAAGAGAAGGCCACAGATAGTCAAGAGGTATTCTATAAATTCAGGAAAATTATAATTTAAAAAAGTAAATTAAAATCTTTAGGCAGATTTTTGAATCAGCACCAAGATGAAACACAGTGTAAGATCTCTTTCTCAAAATAGCTGCATTCAGAATCACAAGGATTTACATTATTTTTTCTTCCCTGGACCTGTGGGCCAGACTATATGTCCTTTTAATGTACAATTAGATTCATGAAAATATTAGAAGTCTTATTGTCATTGAATTAAGTGGTATTTGATTATTATTGTTTTAAAAATGCTAAAAGAGGTATAGATTTTTATCAGCAGTACAAAAAAAATAGGAAACCAAGGACTAATCAAGGAGAAAAAAAATTACCTTCATGAAATACTGGAGAGGAGAAAAAGTGATTAGAAAAAGATATTGTCTGAAATTGACAGCAGGAGAATTGAAGTATAGTGCTGTCACATTCTAGGTTGAGGGTCAAGGTATTTTGAAAAGCTAAAGTGGGCTGCACTCATTTTTTGCTAAAGCTGCTCATAGGTTTCTGAATATTCAATACCAGTTTTGTACATGTAAATTCAGAATTTTGGAGCAAAATCCTTGGGTTACTTATCAGATACTCCTATACAGGATAAGAATTCGAAGGCAAATATGTATTTTCTGGAAGTAAATGGCTATGTGCTGATCAGAGGTGTATGGTACATGCTGAACAGAGAGAACAGAATCCTTTCAAATGAGCTTCTCTGCATTCCTTACTGTTTTTAAGAGTGGACTTTTGTATGTACATGTGGAAAAATGGATGCACTTCCCATAGCTGCTGCTGCTGTTGTTGTAGGACCTTGTTATCTATTCTATTCTTCCTGGAGGTATGGTATCCCTTTGTTTGGGGGAAAAAAGTATTTAAAAAAAAAATTACAGAACACTCCCATTCATATCAAAACTCTTCTGCCTATTTATCTTTAAAGGTAAATGCTGTTTCTGAGTAAGTCTGCCTTGCAAACTTAATGATAAATGCTGTACTTCCCTCTTGGAAGTTTCCCTTTAGATATGTAAGTAAGTGGACTTTTGGGGATATTTTTACTGTCACATGCTTTAAAAGGAAGTATACCAATTTAAAAAATTTATATTGTATTTCAACTATTAGAAGTTCTATGTTCTGTTTCTTCTTTTAGGTGAGAAACCTTTTGAATGTAACATTTGTGGGAAACACTTCTCACAGGTGGGAATATTTTATATTATAGTACTTACACTTGAAAATGAAATGCATCTATATGTTGATTCTAAAAAGCTTGGTTTTAAGTCTATAGATATTTTTTCTTCAAAGACAGACTTCACTTTAGGGATAAAATATTAAAATGTCTTATTTGAAAATAGTATGTTAAATGCTTTGGATGTGTTTGATACATGTTGAACCTTTGATTCTCTCTTCTCAGTAGATGTTTTTTATATCTTGCCTTCAAAGGAATATTTAGCTCTATAGAGCCACAGCTATAGTTGAAATAGAACATTCATTCTTTGACTGTTCTTTTGCCTTAAGCCTAGCAGTATGTTGTGAATAGCATTTTTACAGTGCCTGAAAAAAATACAGGTTAGAATTCTGTATAATGTATTTACAATACAGTTTCATCTTCCTGCATGGCATAAATTATTAAGCAGATTTTTTTTTTTTAGTCAAAAAACAATTGTTCATATAATTTGGCTTATTTTCCTTCTGTGCAGAACAACAGCACAGTCTGACTGAAAGAGCAAAACTCAGCTATGATTTAAAGAAACAGACTTGTGAAATTCCCTGCTTACATACAGGGCCTAAACTTTAGCTTCATTTGCCCCCCAATGCTTGTTTCCTATTCTGGGTACAACAATTACTTTGTATTTATATGGTGCCTAGTTGTCTCCTGTTTCTAAAGTGTCTGTTTCTTGTCTGTTTTCTTGGTTGGAATATGGCTACCTAAGTATGGGAAACCATAGACAGGTGCATATTTTTAGACTAAGATGAAATAGTAATTATCGTTTAATAACTTTGGTCTTTCTCAGGGGTTCTGGGTTAAGGATTAGAATCATGTGGTCTTTGTCTGCCCACCCACCAGTGCTTGCACTTTTCCTGCTCCAGTTTTCTAGTACACCAGTGGGACTTCTTTGACCCATGAATCTAATGCAGTTGCATCCTCCACTCTGTTATTACTGAATATGAATATAACACTGTGCCCAGTGAGCAGTACTGCTTCATCCTGCTTATCAAGCCATTTTGAGCATAACTGGATCTGCTCAAATATCTTATTAATCACATACTTAATTTCATAACTCACAAATTCCATTCAAAGTACTTTTGGCAAATGGAGTGGTAGTACAGTGGAGGAAGAGGGAATTAAAAAGTTTCATGCACTCAGTGTGTGACAGACATGACAGACTTGGGCAACATGCTTTGCTCCTCTTCACTTAAAAAGAAACAAAACCCCCAAGAAAACGGGACATTTCTGCCTTTTAATTAAACACTCTTAAACAGCTTTGCTCCCCTGCCCCCCATTTAACTGGCTTTGTCTGAAGGTGTAGGTAGGTATGTGCTGATGGACAGTGCCTACACATCCCGCATAGGAGCCGTAGAGTTCAGCTTGCGTGCGGCAGCTCTGTGTGCTCAGCAAAGGGCACTCCCATACTCCTCAGGTACTTGCTTTGGAACTGTGCATAAGGATAAATACTGTCCGTTTTTTTTTTTTTTTCCTTAAAAGACCACCTCTGATCTTGGTCTTGGTCTTGTCAGTCTGCAGGCACAGAAATAATAACCCTTTTCTTATTTAAGCCTTCGTGTTCTGTGCTTTTGAGTCAGTGCAGTTGTGCCTGGTAGTATGTCTGCTCCTGCTGAGTGTAGCTGATGTTCTGTGTGTTGAAATGTGAAACACAACATGAAGAAAGTAGGGAAGGTTGACATAGGAACTCATAGTTTGGGACAAATAACCATAAATGTCTCTGATTTTTTTGAGAAAAATGTTCCTTTTTGTATTTCCAAGCCTGCATCTTCCCTTACTACTAGTGCACAGCCTGTTGCTGTGTGGTCCTTGTCTGGCTGGTGATCCAGGGTATCGTTGTTTTACCTCCTGACTGACTTCTGCAAAGGTTTTTTGGGGGGACCATATGTATTAATTTTTTCACTATTAAAAGCATGCCAGTTACAAATGGACTAAGCATAGCATATCCCTCGTGTCTCCAAATCTGCAATGAGTGATACACAACCAGTATCAGCCAGAGGATTCTTCTCAGCATTTTTTTTCCTTTTACTGAAATGCTGGCAGAAGTTCTCCTGCGCTCTTTCACTGAGATGGCATATTATGCCTTAACCAAGGTTGTGTACCACCTTAAACCTTAGGAAGAATAGAAGGTACACATGTTTTTACTTTTTTTTTTTTGTCTCAGCACAGTTTATGACAAACTATTGCTCTCATTAGGAGGAAATGACATAGGTTTGTAATAAATAAATCTACTTGCTACTCTCTATAGAAAGTTTTTATTCTGACTAAAAATGCCTGTATGGAAACTATTTCAGAATAATTGTTGACTTCAGGTTCACCTTTTGTCTTTATCCAGAATACCTTTCAAATGCCTGTGATATGGTTTGTTTAGTGATGTGGATAGCGATGAAGGTTCTGTCTTTTGTACATTTCACTCAAATGTACCTCTGCATAAAATCCCTTCTCTTTGTTCCACGGAGAAGTCAGTTTAGTCTTCTTCCTCAGAAACAGGTGCCCTGATCTTGAACAGGTTTCAGTATTAGGAAGTTTGGCCTGGGAGAACAGTATTTCAGTCATCCTGTTGTCTGAAAAACTTTACAGGGCTTAAAGAAAGCGCTCTGAGAGTTCAAATGGTGATCTGTTCAATATTGTCCTCTGTGTGTGTCTGTGTCTTCAATACTTTAGTTCTGGTATATCCTAAGCTCTGATTACAGTGGTTGATAATCACAAGAAATTTATTATCTAGAGGAGTGAGAAGAAATTACTGATGGGTCTTATTTTTGTTGTCTTACTAAGGAGGGCATAATAATCTTTGCATCCTTAGTTTTCTTTCCTGATTGAAAGGACTTAATATTCCTTCAGTGTACTTAGATAAAACCAGGCAGTTATCCACCAGAGAGAAAAGAAAGGTTAAAAAATGACTGTGGAAGTAAGCACTATTTATGGAACATCTGCAGCTCTTCCATCCAGACTAGCTGTGTCTTGTGCTTTGAGAACTAGACTCAGAGCATTAGTCATTCAGAAGCACCAATGGCTTTAAAAACATTTAAAATTAAAAAAAAAAAAAAAAAGTTGTAATGGGTAAGATGGCTTTGTCCAGTCATCTGGTTTGCCTGCTAGACTGGCACGATTTTTACAGGTCTGGGAGAGGAAAGATATGTAATAAAAATTCATTACCAGTAATCCCATTTGTTCATTTCTGTACTTCCTGTTGGGGTTTTTTTTTGATAGGAGGAAATACAGCTTTGGAGCACTTGACTCTGAGTATTTTATGCATTGAAAAATGTTCACCCTATTCTTTTCTTTTTAGCCTCTTGGTAGGTGAATTCAGACATCCTGATGTAACAACATTTTATTTGTAGGACAGGGAAAATGAAACTAACGTGAACCATACCACTAGTAAGTTTTCTTCTTCACTGCAATCTAGATAGTGTAATTTTCATTTATAATTGGATCTGTTTTCAACTATAGGTCTTTCTTTTTCCTTAGAATTTGATTCTAGGCTTCCTTTTTTCTGGTTTGTGGTTTGTTTGTTTTTTTTTTCCCCTGTTCTTTTCAATGTATAATTTTATACTTAAGCAATTTGATCTTGGAAGAACATGGTAGTCTGTCTTTGCTAGATGAGAATGACTGAGTTCATACATGCTTTGTAGTGTTTGCTGCCCTAGAATTAAGAATAAAAAGCCAGTCTCCTAGTTCCCATCGTTGTCTTCCTGTCTGTGTACAACAACAGGCTAGCTAATTTAAATGTTTAAATTACTGTCCCTTCAGGCAGGCAATCTCCAGACACATTTACGTCGACATTCTGGAGAAAAACCATACATTTGTGAAATCTGTGGGAAAAGGTGAGTAGAATTCATCATTAAATTTAACATGGTAGCTTTATTCATGTTTTCTTTAATTTTCATGATAAACTAAGGCCCAAGAGCTCAGGCAGCATGGTGGCCCATGTTGTTTAAAAGACATTGGGTTTAAGTGTGTACCGATGGGATTAAAATACATAAAAGTCTGCAAGTGTCTGGTTGCAAATCCCAACAGTAAGATAAATGTGCTACACGTAGTCTGTGATCTTAGTTAATTTTTTGTATATTAGTATCTTTAGTTAAGGTTATACTCTTGAGTGTATTTTGAACAATAAACATAGCAATAAATCATGTGGGTTTGTACCTTTCCCTCACATTTTTTTCATTATTTGGTCATATTATTTTTCTTACATGTAATGGAAATTATGAAGTATGGGAAACTTGACAAATTTAATCAAAGCATTAAATATTTCTGCCTTCTACTAACAGATGACAGAAAATTCACTAATTTAGGAGTAGCATTCATATTTACACTAAGTTAAATGCAGAATAAATTAGTAACATTAATGGTGAAAAGGGTATTTTGGGCTTTTTTTTCTAGCATAAATTTAGTTGGACATTGTCAGCTTCAAAATGTTTTTTCTTAAATGCATCCATTTAACATCTATCCAGCACGACCCTGTGGTTTAGGTTTTAATCTTTGTTCAGAGCATCAGGCATTCGTTATTGTTGATTTTCACGTCATACTCAGCTTAGGAGAATAAGAGTCTTATAAAGACAATAATTTGGTTTCCATGTTCTGTTACAGATTTGCTGCTTCTGGTGATGTTCAGCGTCATATTATCATTCATTCTGGAGAAAAGCCTCATCTGTGTGATATCTGTGGCAGAGGTGTGTAAGAACCAAAGCTTCTGCCTCTGAGATTTTTTGATTGACATGTGAGGAGTCATTTTAATCTTGGCATCTGTCATATTTTTTCTAGGATTCAGCAACTTCAGTAATTTAAAGGAGCACAAAAAGACCCATACAGCAGATAAAGTATTCACCTGTGATGAATGTGGGAAGTCATTCAACATGCAACGAAAATTAGTGAAGCACAGAATTAGGCATACTGGAGAGAGACCATACAGCTGTTCAGCATGTGGTGAGAGTTCCTGTGCATAGCTTGGTTGTGTCTTTACTTTTTAAATAAGTCCCTATGTCAGCAGAATAACAATTAACCAAAATAATTTTCAATTGAAATACCATGTTGTGAACGTTTTTCACAAAATCTTCTGTCTTGCCTACGTCGTAGTCTTTCATTTGGTGTAATAAATTCCTTTAGCGGCTGTAAATAAGTTTAAAAATTAATTTCAGTCTAAGAATGCAGAGGGCAATTAAGAGGAAACAACACTGTCTATGTACATGTTTGGTAGAGAATTACTGATATTAGCAGTTTCAAAAATGGATTTATTTTCAGTATAGTCCTTTCTGATGGAAAAGCTGAGTTGGGCTATCCATGGAGTCTCTTTTGGTTTTGTTTTTTTGTTTGTTTTTTCCCAGTTGAATAGTGTTCAGATTTAACTGCATTCAACCATACAGTTCGATAATATCAGTCTTTTGCCTTTGCTTCAACCTCTGGAATAAAATCAAAACTTGATCAGTGCTTCATACCAGACAACACACATTTTCTAAATCTGCTAGATAGGTCATACTTCCATGTGATCTGAAAATGGCTCTTTGATCAATGATTGATCCGTGTATAACAGTTCTGAGAGACCGCATTGTCTGTCCTTATCTCATATGTTGCTCAGCATCCTGCATACTACTTATATTTCTGCCCTTAAGTGCTGTTTTGGTATAATGTAATTCATGTTCTGAGGAGTCAGCTTTAGAGGATATGATAATGTCCAACTGCAGTATGTTTAATTTGTAATGTCTTGAGGCATAAGGAACACTAATATTATCAGGAGGTCTTTCATCAGAACGAGGAAATACAGACATGCAGGATATGGAAGTATAAACAGTTGTGTTGCTGCCATTAAGACTGGCTAATGAGCCTATTTTTGTAGTGTTCCTTTGATTATTTTTCATTTTAGCCAGGTCAGCTTGTACTGAGAAGGCAAAAATAGTGCAAAGAGGATCTGATCAAGCATTAAGAAATCATTCACGTTATGCAAAAACTCCACATGTATTATTCCAGTAATTTGTAATCTTACTGTTTAATGGCTTTTCAGAAGAGAAATCTGAGTAATAGAATAAAAAGTAGAAGACTGCAGTTTTATTGGGCTTTCAGATAATACAGTTCATTTTAGCTGGTACCTGTTCACACAAAATAATCTTTAACCTAGGTAAAATGAGGTAAGATTGCAAGTAGGTACCAGCTTATTGCTACAGTGCTGAAGAATGTGAGGTGTCTGAATCATGTAGCAGTACTGGGCATTAATGGTCGGAGGTTCTGCTTGTTCTTCTACACTTTACTTTGGCTCAGCCTCAGACACTTGTTTCTTTGCAGTATGATGACTGACCTCATTTGAGCTTGTGGTTCTGAAAATAGACAATCAGCTGAATATTTTATTGTATTCTAATATTTACAGCAATGAAAATCTATGGTTTTGACACATTCCCTGGCTGGAATATAAAAAATAGACTGCTGCATTACATTAGCTCAAAGCTAACAAAAAAGCTAACTTTGTCAGCACTGTAAAAGTAGTTCCCTGGTAGTGAACAAACCATTATTTTCTATAGTGCAGTTCTCACTGGGAGAACATATTTAGAAGCTTATTAGCATACTCTTTTTTCCAGAAAAAAAAATGAATTATTTACTGGTTTGGCTTTTTTTTTTTAATTACATGAAGATAGATACAAACTGAGAGCACTCACGGCTTTCCAATACTGATGGACATTCCCATCTCTGGAGAGAAAAACAAAGGCACTGGGAAGTAGAAGTTGGTAAATCAGATCAAGAAGAAGAAACAAGTCATTGAAATTGTACAAGCAGAGGGAACTTCTTTGAACTGATAAACAGGTTCTAGATAAACAAAGTACCATAACTGGGACACACTAAACCTTTTCACTTGGTATTTCTTCTAGGTACAACATGTTTATGCACTTGTGTTAATGACAAAATCTTAATCTGGTGCTTCTGTCTCGTAGGGAAATGCTTTGCAGGCTCTGGTGACCTGCGTAGACACGTGAGAACTCATACAGGAGAGAAGCCCTATACCTGTGACACGTGCAACAAGTGCTTCACGCGCTCGGCGGTGCTGCGGCGGCACAGGAAGATGCACTGCAAAGCCAGCGAGGAGCCTCCGCACACACCGCGGGACTTTACTCAAGGGCTTGAAACGTCTGACCTTGACAAGTCTCAGACTTGTGACTCTTTTGGCCAAGAAATGCCCGTTACCTTGTTACCAGTGTCTGTTAAGTTTCCCATTCGTCCAGCTGCAAATTCAACTGAACTTGATAGTTCTGTGGATTCTTACTGCAAGTTGCAATCCATGACTCAGCACCACGATGGAGCAAGCCAACAGAAGCTGCATGTGGACTCTGCTAAACTCCCAAAAACTCAGACACAGCAAACTCCTCCACCACCGCAATATGCTTATGCAGATGTAGATGTGTCCTCTGCAGAAGAGCCCTTACAGTCTGATAATGTTCCCATGATTCGCTCCTCCGTGGATGGCTTGGACAATCACTGTAATGATCCATTAGGCAGCCGAACATCATCTGCTGCATACAAGAACAATGAAGGACCATTCTTCTCCAGCATGACCCTCTGGGGTTTAGCTATGAAGACCTTGCAGAATGAAAGTGAATTGGAACAATGAGAGCTCAGGTGACAGTGACAAAACTTCTTAGGGGCATTTCATGCTAGAGTGATGATGATTGCACTGCAGCATAGAGAGATCAGAGCTAGTTTTTAAGCCAGCTAGCTTGGAGACTGGTAAAAGTCAAGGTATGCATGCCCAGAATCCAGTTGTAGGCTGCCTTTACATTGCTGCTCAGCAAAGTTCAAATCTAGTTTTAGGGATCTTTGTTGTTCTGTGACTGCACCGTGTAGCTTGTGTTGCCAGGATTTACTAAAATTTGCCATTTACTAAATTTATCATTTAACATGGTATTTTTTGCCTGATAATGGAGGATAGGACAGCCCAATGCCTAATTTCATGATTGTGGGTGCACTTTCAAGAGTGGATCATCACAGTTGTGTAAGGGTGTAGATATGAAAAGAGGAAAATATTTAACAAATCCCTCGTGAATCTGAGGTTCAGTAGTGACTTTCTTACCAGTAGGATCATTGGTTTACATGACTTGAGTATTATAATATTAAATTTAAATGTTAAATACTGGACAATATTTGTGATAGTGCAAAGTAACTGTATATCTAGAAACTTTATTTTTTTACAATAAAAGCTTTTTTTAGTATTTTATAAACTATTTTGCACAGCAGATTATTTGTACAATGAAGACCAATATCAGGAAATGCAAATAAAGGGAAGTTGTTTCACATTGTAACTTAATTGCTCTTAATCTGTTTCATCTCTGTATGAAAGATTTTTAATAACATAATTCCATCTATTCTAGGTACCTTTACAGTGCTAGTAGGGGATACCACTGCAAGAAGAGCTGCACTATAAAATAAGTGCAATCAATACACCAGTAGCTAGTCTTGCACTTCACTGAATTAGTGTAAAACATTGGCTAATTAATGGAATGAATAGATTGTTACAGGATAGACACTTTGCTTATTGGCCTTTCTCCACTTTGGTGCTTCAAATGGTTGCATTAATTTTCCATATAGATCTGTTGCTGCATTTCAAACTGCTTGCCACAACCATGTGAGTTTTACTGGCCTAACATTATCCAACCCATCAAAAAAGTTTTAGCCATGTATTGTCAAGCTGTATGCTGAAACAATCCTTAGATGTTGTAGTTTCTGAAATGAAAGCATCCTCATACTAGCCTTTTTTTTCTGAAGTTCATTCACAGGCTGGAAAGTCTGTCTAAAGTACATACTTTTTATTTCCTATAAGAAGTCTCAATGCTTTTAGGCTGAGCAGAAGATTTCAGTGTTTTGCAACAGCTAACAAGATCTGGTATCAGTGCTATTTTAAAAACACTGCAGTTCCTCTGCTGAAAAAAAAACCACCACAATTGCATAAAATTAACTGCTGGAACTGTCTTGTAATTAATATGTTATGTCACATTTTCCTGGCATTAGAAAAGGGGTTGTCACTTGTATCCCACTAAAGCATAAAGATTCAAATCTATTATGATTGTCTGGTTCTTGGTAGAAGAAGAATTAATTTTTCTAGAAGAGGAATGTAGACCACGGGTGATGTACAGCCCACTGCTTGTGTTCTGTGGAAGTTCAGAGCCTGGAAAATACAGTATTTTTTCATATTTTTGAAGTGCTTACCCCTTTTCCCCCCATCCCCCTCCAGGAATTCAAAACTAGCTGTTAAGTTTCTTACCATGTTAACACCATGCATCACAATTTGTAGCTTCCCTTCTGTTACTTGGGCCCTGTGCCTCCATTTTGAACTGCTTTCAAGCCACGTTGAAAAGAGGATAGTATTGCTGTCCAGAGTGTAGCACTCCATAAAACAACGGGGGAAGAACATTACACTGAATATGTAAGTCTTGAAAGACAAATTTCTCTCAATTGTAATTTAATTTTTTTTTTCACTTCATTAACAGACCAGTTAAAATCAAGATGCCCTGGAGAGCAAACTGGGACTTCTTTTCACCTTTCTTTTCTTGTAGTGCACATATACTAGGAAACAATAAAACATTTATATTTTTCCAATCCGTAAAGTCAAAACAAGTGTTTGCAGGACCTAATTTTAAAAGTAATGCCTAGGCTAAGCAGAACAGTCCCACATAGGATGAAGCAGGGAATGCTTTGAACCCTCAGTTCTTCTCATTCATTTTCTTTTCCACTACTGGCCGGGGAACACTGCAGGTCTGTGTGGGCATCGTCCACAGGCTGTTCTGTAATCCCTGTGTTGTGAATCTGTCCCTGACCACCTGTGCCCACCTCTCACTCTGCTTTCTTCGCACTAGGTGCCAAAGGCAAAATGGGGGTGTCTGCCAGTCACCTGCTTTGTGGCTTTCCCCTTGACAAACTTTTTAGATTTATTTATCCCAAGAGAAAATAGAAATTTGATGCTGTTCCCATGAGGATTTTGTTGCTTGGAAAGGACGTATCTGCAATTTGTGGACCTCCTAGCTATTTGCTGCCTCTTGTTTCTGCAATGCTTTTGTTTTTTCTGTTGTATCTTGGTGGAGTCAGTACAGAACAGGTTCAAAATGGACCATGTTGCAACCTTTGTGCTCTTCTAACAGTGTTGGAGGTCTGTACACCTTGTTTTGAGGAAATGTGTTATTGCTGAAGACTGTCTTAAAGTGAAAATGGCATCTTGAGGTGCTTAGAAGCGCATAGATGAGATGCTAGGTGTCAAGTGCTTTGTGCCCAGAGGGCAGCTGTCTTGCTCTGAGGTTAATTTTTCTTGCTTGGCAAGAGAATTCTTTCTGTGAGAGTGTTTCACACCACAAACATGAGGGTTCTCAAACCTGCTACCAGATTGTGAATACTGTGTGCATGTTGGGGAGTGTGATAAAACACAGTGCAATGTGGCATCTTTGGGAAGGCAGTAGAGGAAACGCTGGTAGGACAAAGCAGCCTGTCTGAGTTTGTACAGCTGGAACCAGAAAAAAGAAGAGCTGCAGCACCAGGTAGGAGTATTTGAAAATGGTTATTCCTAGCTGGCTTGAAGGAAAAGCTGAACAAGAGAAAATTCAAAAGAAATAGCTGGGTGGATTCAGATGGAAGTGAATAATTTTTTATGTACAGAATAAGAAGTTTTGGATTAAGGAGCCCCATCCCTGTAGCCACTTTGCAGTGAGAGTATTACTGCTTGACTGTGAAAATATTTATTTTGCTTTTGTGTTTCCAACCCCAAATATAGTATGTCTTGCTAATTTAGTATTGTCTGAGCTTTTCTCAGTGAGACATCTGTAGAAAATTGCTTTTAAAGAGGATCTTTTTCTGTATCCTGAGAATTCTCTGTGCCATCCTGTAGGTCCATAATGAAGAGGATGTTTGAGTGGGAATAGGAAGTGTGGTGTGATAGCCCTAATGCTGCCATGAAGTTGGCACAGCTGAAAAACAGCAGCGACCCTGTGACTTTGAGGAATGGGTGGAAACAATGACGTAATTGTTGAGCCAATAGTATTTGACAAGCAACAGACACTCGACCATAGATATTGCTCATAAATACCCGTAGCCAGTGTGCTGAGGGGGGTGAACACCCATCAGTCAGTTGGCCAGTAACAGGCACAGCTAAAGTGCCATATAGTTGATCTCAAAAGCATGCTATTTAGAAAAAACAGCCACAATCCAAAACTTGTCATAGTCTAATCAAAGGACTGCAAACTCTTATTTATTAGAATAACTATTCTGCACTGCAGAGGTGCTGTTCAGTTCATCTTGAGAACCTGAATCACTTTTGTTTCCAGAAGCTGCAGGTAAGCCCTGCTCAGGGCTTAGTTTGGGTTTGTTCAGTGCAGAGGTATCTCTGTCATTCGGCTCCTGCACAGTATAGAAAAATTAAATTACAGTAGTGTTTAAACTTTATTGGATACAGGGGGAAACAGTGGCCAAGGATGAGGAAAAGTCTGAGGTACTGAGCCTTTAATGTTAAGACCAGTTGTATTCTGAGTGCTCCGCCCCCTGAGCTGGAAGATGGGGATAAGGAGCAGAATGAAGCCCCCATAATCCAAGAGGAAATGGTCAGTGACCACCTACACCACTTAGATTCACATAAGTCTATGGGGTGAGATGGGATCCACCCAAGAGTACTGAGGGAGCTGGCAGAAGTGCTCACCAAGCCACTTTCCATCATTTATCAGCAGTCCTGGATAACTGGGGTGTTCCCAGTTGACTGGAGGTCACAAATGTGACACCCATTTAAAAGAAAGGGCAGGAGGAGGATTCGGGGAACTACAGGCCTGTCAGTCTGACCTTGGTGCTGGCAAAGGTCATGGAGCAGATCATCTTGAGTGCCATCGTGAGGCACATACAGGACAATGAAGTGATCAGGCCCAGTCAGCATGGGTTATGAAAAGCAGGTCCTGCTTGACGTACCTGATCTCCTCCTATGACAAGCTGACTTGCTTAATGGATGAAGGAAAGGTGGTGGATGTTGTCTATCTAGACTTTAGTAAAGCCTTTAGTAAACCGTTTCCCACAGCATTCTCTTGCGGAAACCGGCTGCTCATGGCTTAGATGGGTGTACTCTTTGCTGCTCAGCCAGAGAGTTCTGGTGAATGGATGTCCTGGTTCCGTGTAAA